CTCATTTCCCTTTGGGGTTGCTGTAGGTGATCTGGAAGACTGGTTTTGAGACTTATTTACGTGTTTTCTCATTTTGACTGGGGCGGGGGGCTGTTAGCGCCTGCACAGATTACCTCCTCTGAGCTGGGAGAGGTGGGACAGGGGCCGGGAGCAGCAGTAGGGATGGTGGCCCAAAAGCCCTTTCCTGTGGACTGGGCGCAGCGGGAGGGATGGTGGCTGGGAAGCCCCTTCCTCTGGACCAGGTGTAGTGGGATGGCGGCTCAGAAGCCCCTACCTCTGGGTTGGGAGCGGTAGGAGAGATGGTGGCCTGGAAGCCCCTTCCTCTGGGCCAGGAGCAGCGGGACAGAAGGTGACCCCAAAGCCCTTTCCTCTGGGCTGGGAGCAACGGGAGGCATGGTGACCGGGAAACCCCTTCCTCTAGACCAGGAGCAGTGGGACGGTGGCTCAGAAGCCCCTACCTCCAGGCCGGGAGCAGCAGGACTCAGTACCTTGGTCTGGTGGTCTGGTGTCCTCTGTGTCTTTGTAGTGTGGAACCAGGTGGCTGCCTGTCTGCAGCGGGGTGATTCGGCATCTTCCGCGCAACTTGGGACCTTGGTAGGGCATGCACAGACCTGCCTGTCTGCAGCAGGCTGATTCCGCATGTTCTGTGCCCATCACTCTATTCTTTTAAGGCCCAGATCTGCCAGGCACCAGGTATCAGACACGATACAAGAGAGGAAATGCCATGTTACAGTTCTGAAACTTGAACAGACTATTTCTTGGATGTTTTGCATCTTCTTGTTGCCTGGAGCCTTGTCTTGGCCGTGGGTGTGAATACAGTTCTCCTCATGCTAGGTTTTTGCAACTTTAGTTAAAACACTTGTCTCATCTGGTGGAGAGATTGAAGTCCCTCCTCAAGACATGATTATCTAGAAATAGAAATTAGATGGGTTTCAGAAAATGTGTGAGAGAAAATGAAGGTAGGTATTCAGTTCTCGAATGCCAGGCTAGTGAGTCTGGTCAGCAGTCATCATGCAATGTTATCCAGACAGGATTGAGCATGAGTTCAAAAGGATTAGGGATGTGCATTAGGAAAATTATCCAGGAGCAGTGAGAATCTGGAGGAATGGAGAACATATTCAGGCCTAGGAAAGAGTTATGGGGCATTCACCAAGATGGTGGCCGTCTTGGTCTTTGCTTCTATTTTTCCTTCATTGTTTTGTTTTAGTACTGGGGATCGAACTTGGGACCTTGCACTTGTGAGGCAAGCAGCATAACCACTGAGCTAAATCCCCAGCCCTTTCCTTCATTGTTGATTCTCGACCCAACAACTACTTCTCTTCTTCCCCACCGATGGAGGCCTCTTTTTGTACATGCATCACAGGAAAATGTGCTCATGGAAGAATCACTCCTCCTCCACCCCCAGGGAAGCACCCTGACTCCAACACTGTCCAATAGAACCTTTTCTGATGATGGAAACTCTGCCTTCATGGAGACCACTAGCCTCATCAGCTCTGGAGCCCTTGAAATGAGGCTTGTGTGGCTGAGAAACTACATGTAAATTTTTCTGTCACTTTAACTTAAATCTAAATCACTTCCTGTGCCTGGTGGCTACCATATTTGCACAGAGACCCTAACCTATGATACCTCCATTCCCCTTTGCCAAGGATTGGTACGGACATCACCATGTGGCCCATTCCTAACCTACAGCACCCAGTGGAAAAGGATGGGATCTGGGAAGAATATTTTGATTTGCTAAAGGAAAGAAATGCCTGGAAGCTTGCATCATTCTGCTCTCTTGTCTTGTCTCTTCCTACAGGTTCCTTTCTGCCCTACATGTCGCCCTGTGCCATGTGAATGCGTGCTGTTTTGTGACAATGAGCAGATGATCTAAATAAATAAAGATGATCAGATTTAACACTCTATAGTGCTTACTGCATGCCGGGCTCTGGCTAAGCAGTTCACATGTGTTAATTAACTTAGTGTTACCAGCAACCCTGGGGAGGAGACACTAGTGTTATCTCCAGTTTGCAGAGTGGGGATGGAGGCTCAGAGAGGCTTGGTAAATCGCACAAGCCCCACAGCCAAGAAACATTGAAGCTGGCACTTGAATTCAGGCGAGATGGAAGAGGCTGGGTTCCTTGTTGCTACACCATCACTGCCTTTCTAGAACAGAGAGAGGTAAAGAGAAACTACAGAGCCCACTTGTCACTGGACCTCTTGCTAGCTGAGATAAATTCATGCCCTTATATTTAAAGCCAGATTAGATCTGGTCCCCTGTACTGGCTTGTTCCCTCGAACACCCTCAGCGGCACCAGGGTCTTTGGGAGTGTCTCTTTCACCTGATTGAATCGCTCCTCTATCCAGGGCTGATTCACTGCAGACATTGCCTCGGAAATCATCCCCATGGCAGCGGAAGAACAGTCCCTCTAAGGCTGGCCGGGATCACTCCTGTTACAGTAGCACAAGGCGACACCCCAGGGGATCCCCATCGGTCCCCACCCCAGGTGTACTTAAGGCCACGCTCAGCCTCACACATCTGCCTGTTTATTCTGACTCTCAAAAAGAAAGTCTGTCCCAAGGCACTGTGGGGAGGAGAATCCCAGAGGCACACGGAAGCTTTAGACAAGGGGGCAGTGCCCCGCCTTGGGTTTTGCCTCTAGTTACTCAGCACATAGTCAGCACCTGGGTTTTCCCAGTACCCTGAACCCTCTTCTGTGACTAAGAATTTAGTATGACTTGAAGTTTATTTCTCTGATAAGTTGGCTGCTTGACTTTCCAGGCTTGCGAAAATTCAGAGAGAGGCAAAAGTTCAATCCATTTGGTGGGAAGCAGACTGGGTTCGTGTGGATGGTGCTGCCACCACTGGTGCACCACTGCGCCGGGCACAGGACGCTCTCCCAGCTGAAGACAGTTGTGGGAAACCCCTCCCACCCTCAGAGCTGTCCTTCCTTCCCCTTGGCAGGCAGGGCCACCCTTTCTTTATCCTTCCCTTCCCCAGTCCCTTTTTCCCTCCCTGGCCCTACTATGTCCTTGTTCCTCCATCCTAGGCCCAAGTGCCGTCGGGGCTGCGCAGCCGCAGTGAATGGGGTGACCTGAGAGGAAGAAGAACACGTCTAAGTGGCAGACAGTCCCGGGCCCGCTCCTCACCGCAGTCTTCATTTTCCCTTCACTCATTCAGCAAAGAATTACTAAGCGCCTACTGCGCAGGAAGCACTGGAAGCGTCGTGGCAGAAGCTTCTTCCTGGAAGAAAAAGTAAACTTCTTGAGGCTTCTTCTCGAGTTGTAGGTCTTAATCTCATTTCAGGATTTGGTTATCCAGAGGCCCAGCACTACCTTCAGATCGGAGCTGAGATGCACAGGCCCTGGTGGGAGAGCGTGACGTGCAGTGCTTTCTCGTGGAACCGGGCCCTGGCGGACCAGGCTGCAAACCCGCGTCTGCTGACTCACTCATTCTCGCCACACACTTCGCGCCAGCCTGGCCCGGGCAAAAACAAACAGCGCAGGCTCTGCACTTCTCTGGAGCAGGCTCCCGGGGACCCTGGCACCGGGATCCCCGCACGGTAAGGAAACGGGGACCCCAGCAGCCCCCCGCGCAATCCTGCTGGCTCGTCTTTGAAGTAAAGAACCCAGAGATCAAAGGAAATATTTGGTTGAACTCAGCTATTTGTCCTTGATCTGCTAGAAACTTTAATTTAATTAGCAACATAAACTTTGCAAAGATTTCACTTTCCCAGCTTGGTTTAACTGATGCCATTTCTTTGATTTCCAAATGACTGGGAGCAACTATGGGGGAAAAAGTCTTTAAAATTCTCATGTAAGATGTAAACTATGCAATACTTGTATCTCATGAGAATTTTCTGGTGGTACTGACCCAAATTTTATACTTCTCCTGCTCCAGTGAGCAAGAAGTTATGGTGAGAAATATTCTGGACTAAATTGCCTAGTTGTTTTCCAAAAAGGCAGACCTCCCAGATTCCTTGGTGTTGGAAATCATAGCATTTTCAGAAGGAGAATACCTCGACGTACTCCTTAAGTCAGAAGCTTTATGTGTGTTTAAGGGTTTCAATGCTCTTCTGGTTCTTCGTGACCCCAGCTTAAACGGCCGCCTCAAGGGTCTAGTGGGTGGGTGGGGAGAGAAGTCCTGTTCTCCCCCACCGTCGGGAATGCTGCACATCCGAGACTCATGCCAGACACTCTCCCTCGGAATGACTGAAAAGGAACTGCCAGCCGTGCTTCGTTTTGGTTTTCACACCACTTGAGCCAACAAGCTTGGAATCTAGTAGAATCCAACCGTGGGACAAATTGCTTAAACTACTGTTATCCAAAAGAATCAGAACCAATCTTCATCTGTAGATAATTTTCTTCTCTCAAGTCACTTGTCAGTTCTCCCAGTCCGTGCAGGGCAAGGCCTCCTCCTCCTCGTCCTCCCACTCGGAAAGCAATGTTTAGATGTAAAAACATATGGCATTGGGTTACAGAGTTCAGTTTTAATGGGGGTATTTTTTTTTTAAATTTGCACGTTCTGTGGTTAACTATCAAAGAATGTAACTAATTATTCCAGCTTTCCCCAGCACTCATTATTTTTAAGAAGTCTCCCTAATCATAAGGTGGCATTTTCAAGATGGGTAGATTGTGCAACCCAGTGATCTCTCAGTACTGTGGCTTTGTCCAAACCCCACTGGCTCATGGGATTTCTCACTGTGCTGTGTGTCTTGCCAAGCATGAAGCCAGATGTAGTTCAAGAAAAGTCAAAGGCCGCAGGTCATTTTGCATGAATAAAGTCCCTTAGGGCTAACAAAACTGACATGTTTCTAGCCATTCTGGGTACACGAAAATTATGCTGGCAAACTGATTCACCATTTACTAGCTTTGTGCAATATTATGAAGGTAGAAGCAGAAACACTAGCATGTTGTGCTTGGCTTTACCGATGGCTTTCTCACCATGACATTAATTGGACAGTATGCATAGTGGATTGTAAATGCATCTTCTGCAGATTTACAAGAAATATGCTCAATTAACATTCTAAAGTAGTAGAAGTACAAAGTAAACACTAAGCAAGCATTTATACCAGTACTAGGACATCTACAACAATTGTTTGGACTGTTGCCTTTTCCTCATTTAGACAAGTTTTCTGCGTTGTAATTACTGTATTACTGTGTATTTCATGGTTTTTACACTCATGGCTTGAGAGTTAAGTACTTGTACACCAAGTATTGCAATCACCTTTCTCTTATTGTACATGCAGTGTAATAACATACAGTTTTGGTGCTTAACAGCAGTCCTTTTTTTCTTTAATAGAGGATGTTTATTTGGGGAAAAAAAAAGGATTTCGATCCCTGTGGCACAGGTGTTCCTCTCTCCAGTTAAAGAAGCCAGGTGGCATCCCATGGTCACAGAGCTTGGGCTTTAATCCACAAGGGCAGATGCAGAGCCCTCCTGTGTGCTAGCAGCTCCTGACATGTTGAGTTCACTTTCGACCGTCAGAAATCATCTGCTGCTTCTCCTTTTGTCAGAGCTCACAGACAGCACCCAAATTACTAACTCTCCTGAGTGGCGTCTTTTCCCTGGCACCTTGGCAGATGGTCAAGAAATAGAAATTTGTCCCAGGCAGTGCAGACCATCTGTGGGGTCCTGGAGGAGACTCTTCACCCTGGCTGCCTGGCTTGCTGAGAGGGGAGGGGACCAGGCAGCTGTCACTGAGAGCCCGTCTGGGCATTCGTGCTCCCTCCCTCCTTCACGTCCTTGGTGTGTGGGGTGAGTGTGTGCTCCAGCTATGCGCCCCGCCCTTCGGTGGACCTGCCTTCACATCTGCCCTAAGCCTTTGCTCTAGGGAGGAGTCTGCGTGGAAGTGGACATGCTCCCGGCCAAGATTTCAGCCCCGACCAACGTCTTGCCAAACCTATGTGTGCTCTTCTGTGGACGTGAGCTTGGGGAGGTGCCCTGAGCTCGCCAGATCCCACAGCGGGAGGCTGCAAGTGACTCTGCTGACAAATGACACGGTTAGATCTTGAGCTAAAATTAGCATCTATGGCCCATCGTTGTCCTTTTCACCTTTACTTGCTGACAGAAAACAAAGTTTGAGAAGGAAGCATTAATATTAGTGACATAAATTCCCTTTATCTCAATCAGACCATGCTTGGAAAGAGAGAAAGAGGCGAGGTTGGAAGTCTCAAAGGCTGTGTGAGGAGAAGGCCACAGCAGGTAGGCCAGTGTCTCCTCCCCACCGAAGACGGAGGGTGGTGGCCTGGACTCCGTGGGACCCTCGTGACCTCCCACGGGGCCCCCCTGCAAACCATCTGAAGCGCAGAGCTCACGACCGGGCTGGAGTCCTCAGACATCCGGTTCGTTCGCACCAGCCCTGGCTCTACTCTCTGCCGCTCCATCACCATCGGCATTTCTTTAGCTGGGAAACTTTTAAGCCTCTTACTGGAATTTTCTCTGTGTGGTTAAAATCCCTGACAAGTAAAATGTGAGCCTGGCACAAGTCATCAGTTTCTTTCAGAATCACATTGGAAATGGTGAGATACAAGGAGATACGGTCCTTTGTGGGGCAGTTCCTAATGATTTCTCTGAAATCTGAATTGAAATTCGCAGTCTCCAAGGAGTTTTGCCAAACCAGCTGTGGGTCCTTTCTACTAGAACTATTTCAGAGTGGATTCAGGAGTAAAAAAAAATATGGAGCGAGTGGCAACATGCTCCAAATCTTGTGCGGTGCGTTTTAATTTTCTTTCCTTTCCCTCCTTCCCTCTCCCCCTTCCTCCGTCACTCACTGAACATAGTGGCCAAAATGAGTTGCTAACGGTTGAATGTTGGAGCTAGGTGATGGGTACATGTGGCATCATCGCTCTTTCTCCCATACCTTTGTGCATGTTTGAAACTTTGTGTAATAAAATCGAAAAAGGAAGCCAAGAGAAATGATCATGGCTCTGGTGTTGAGCTGTTCTTAGTTTCAAAGGGCCGCACAGGAACCAGCCAGAAGCCTCAATGACATTTACTTCAAGCTCATTCTCCTAGGAGGCTTTTTAAAAAAGTGTTTTCCTGGAACTCTAAAAACACCCTCAGAAACTGTTTCAACACGATCCAGGGCAGCAAGGGTCGGAGCTGGCAGCAAGACAGTGGGGTTGAGCAAGTCTGTGACATACAATTAGCGGCTGGGTGAGACAGCTTCTGACCAAATAGATAGTCACTCGATGAGAAAAATAGGCTGAAGGCGGTGATTCGGAGCTTACTCATGTGGGCGCCACATATTTCCCTTACCCTAGGGGCTGTGAATAGAGATTTTGGTTTTAAACCTTGGAAGGTCTTGCTCTTTGCCCATCAAACAAGCAGAATGCACAAGCTTGCTTAGAGCAAATGGTTCTCTGATTCAGATTTTCCAGAGGGAAAGAGGAATGTATGTTAGCAGATTACTTCCCTCGCCGTGTCTGGCCGGGGTAAGCCTCCTAGGCGGGCTAATGATCTCCTGCGGGCTGGTGGCACTGGCTGCCAGCAGAGAGAAGCAGCCTCCTCCTCTGCCCTATCGGTGGCCCCAAAGACTTCTCTTCCACCTGGGACAGTGACCCGCTGGCTCCAGGCCTGGGGCTCAAGGCCCTGGAAGCCCAGAGCACAGGGAAACCACGAGACACTAGAGGGACCCCTGAGCTGGTGAGTCCCATCCTGCGTTCTCCAGGCCACCTGAGTCCGGGCTCTGGGGATCTCTGCTACCCTCTGCTGCCGCTGCTCCGGGCGTCTTTCCTGGGCCCCGGGTCTCTCTTTTGCGCTTATCCCTTCTCAGCGGGTTGTCTCGGTCCTGGCGCCTTGGTGGAGAAGCCCTTCCGGGTCCTCCATCTTCCAAGGATGCCCACCCTCTTGGTGCCCCGCTGTCTCTGGACCACCCTGTGCCTCTTTTCCACATCTCAGCCACAGGGCTGGGGCCTCAGTGTGACACCAATGGGCCTTGATTGCTCTAGTCTGGTTTATGACTCTTCCTTTGGTGGAAACTATCTCTGCTCTGTCCAGCCCTTGGTATTTGGTGATTCCCCTTGGCATCCTTTGTTTGTCCTCAGTGTCCTCTAGGTGACTGCTCCCTCCTACTCCTTCAGTCTGTGTGTGTGTGTGCGTGTGCACATTAAGTGCCCTCACTGCCATAGCTGATGACTTGGGCTGCAGCTCTGACTTTGGCCTCACTGATTTGTGCACCTTTGGCCAAGTTTCTTTGTGTTTTAGGCTTGTTCCCTCCTTTATGAAATGTGGATAATACACCTTCCTTTAGCATAGGGCTGCTGTGAGGATTACTCGAGAAGGTCCACATGAAGTGTTTTGCACATCTCCTGTCTCACTCTGATCGTGCGTGGGCTGCTTGCTTTCTGTCCCTAAGCCCCCATCATCTGAGGGACGTCCCTCGTCCTTTGGAACTACAGAGCCACTTCTGGCAAGAGTCTGTGGCTCTTTCCCTCTGGGACATCCATCTCCACACACAGGTTGTCTAGGACGCTGGCTGGGGTGGGGGTAAGATGACACTTTTCCCAAGGCAGTGACTTGGTGGCTGGGAAAGCAAGAGGCCACAAGGTGGTCTTCACCATTTGAGTCGAGTGCTGAGCTTGGGTAAGGAATGGGACCGGACCTGTGAGGTGCGGGCGATCTCAGCATAGTTTCGGACTTCCGTGATTTCCTTTTAATTGTCTTCAGTATTTGTAGAAACTCTAGTCTGTTTGGGCTCTGCTGAAGCACAGTGAAGATAAGAGATTTGTTTCCCTAGGGGGTTGTTGTTGGGGACTTTGTCCTGGTTTGGTCCAGATCTTCCCCATGGCGCTCGTCTCTCGGATGCAGAATGGCAGTGGCCCAGGCCATCGGGCTGAGAGCCACTGGGTGTTCAGAAGGACTGTGGCCACAGAGATGGATGGGATCAGCAACCGGGGAGGATCTTGTCAGGACACCAGAGGAGACAGCTCTGCTGGTTGCTGATCTTCCCCGTAATTCTAAAAGGTGAGTCAGCTCTTCTAGAGAACGAGATGGAAGTGACGGAGGAAGAAACTCTTTAGGTACGGGAATATCAGTGCTGCTACCACTGTGTCTGAGGTTCTGCAAATTCTCAGAACATCAGAGACGCTTCTAGCCGAAGTCCAGTCAAGTGTGCATCGGGAGAGGTGCCCTGCCCAGGAGGAGGTGAATTTGTCCTCCAACATTGTAGCCCCGCACTCCTGAGCCTGAGGGTGCAGCCCAGCACTCAGCTGGGCACACGGCACTCTGCTCCTGAGCCGCCCACCTGTGCAGCGTCTTCCAGTGCCAGGTGACGTGAGCAATGGTAACACTGGGTATCTGTGTACCCAAAAGGAGAGAGAAGTACAGTTAAAGTACTAAGCCATGGGGCCTGTTCCGCTCCACTAAATCCTGCAGCATCACCATAATTCGGGCCTTCCGCCCTTGTCCGAGGGCGTCACAATGTCATTGCGCTGCACGTGGCCACACCCAGAAGCCCCCCAAGACCACCCCTGAGTGAACATCATTTCGAGGATCTATTTTCTTCTCTTATTGGCAAGTAATTAAGAACAGGATATAGTTGTATGATACTTACAAAAGGCTAGACCAGGAAAGGCTTTGGGGAATCTGTCTCCCAAGCTCTGTTTGCCCTCTGGAAATCTGTGTGATTAGGAAAGGATGTGCAGCTTTGCTCTGTGTTCCAGGAAGCTGAAACAGCTTTCTTATCTTCTCCTTTAAGCTGTCATGAAGAATTAGAGAACATTTACTTCAGGCACTTTGAGGCCTGGGGTGCAGCTCAGTGGCAGGGAACACTGGCTTAGCATGCACGAGGCCCTGGGTTTCATCCCCAGAAAGCTCTCAAAATACTCTCAGGAGCTCAAGGGAGAATGGCGCGGTCCCCATGAAGTGTTTAGGTGTTTCAGGAGATCTACACGGGGCACCGATAAAAACAATGGACGCTTCTCCAGAAGTCACCACGGGTGTATCTTTAGAGAGAAGTAAAATTATGTTTTATATTTAAAAATAGGAATATTAGGACCGGAAAGATGGAACAGAGGGGAGAAAGGGCGAAAACGGAAGTCTTTCAAACTGTGTGCTTTGTCCATCGCCCTCTCCTTGTTGCTGTGCTCCAGATTTCACTCTCCATTTCCTGTGTCTGTTTCCAGGGTGCCACAGCCGAGTACCATGAGCTGGGAGGCTTCAATCAGGAGAAAATAATTTCCTCCTGACCCTGGAAACTGGGAGCCTGGACTCGGGGTGCGGCAGGGCTGGTTCTACTGGCCCGTGATCCCTCTCAGCTGCTGGTGGCTGTCTCCCTTCCCTGGGCTTCCTCACCCAATCTCTGCCTCCAGGTCCCTGGCAGGCGCTGTCCAGGGTTCCTCTTGGGGTCCCCCCTGGTGACTTCCTTTTAGCCTGATTACTTCTTTAAATAGAGTCACATTTCTAGATAAGGGGTAGGGGCAGGATGTCAGCACAGTTTGGAGTGTTGTTCAATCCACAACACACTTCATTTTGGCCTTAATAAGGAAACCAAATGCTTTTAAAAGATGATTAGTTATGCCGGCCTTGGTGGCACACGGCTGTAATCTCAGCACTCTGGGAGACTGAGGCAGGAAGATCACTAGTTTGAGTTCAGCCTGGGAAACACAGAGGCTTAGGGAGATCTTTTCTCAAAATAAAAAATGAGAAAGGGTTAGAGATGTCGCCCCTCGTGAAGGGCCTGGGTTCCAAAAAAGAATCAATCTGCTTTTTCGTTTTTCAGCGGTACTGGGGATTGAATTCAGGAACTGACACACGCAGGCAGGTGCTCTACCTGAGCCTCATCTCCGCCCATAAAGAGTCAGTTGCTTTTGCACTGGATCAGAACACGACCCCCGACCCCCATCTGCTCTGTCGCCCAGAGCATGCGCACTTGACATTCCTAGCCCTGGGCGCTGCTACACCGGGCGTGAGCCCCTGGCGGTGACTCGGGTGTGACTCGCCGGCCACTCCTAACCTACACCGAAGCGTCTGAGCCGTCTAAAAGCCCAGTTCCTGAACATCGCGGGGCGGAGGGTGGGCAGGACAGAGGGAGGAGAATGTCTCCAGCTGGCCGAGTTTGGCGTCTCCAACGGCAGAGACCTGGTCCCTCACCTCCGCCCGCCCGCCCGGCGCTGGGTCGCGTTTCCTTCTGGATGCCCGAGTCAGCGACTTTGCAGCGACTGCTGCCAGAAAATGAGTTATTGTTATTTTTAGCAAAAACTACCTTATGCACTTTTGCCTTATCAGATCGGAAAAAGAGTGGCCTTTCATTTTGCAATTCACTTTTGACATTATTCTTTTAAAAGACCCTAACTGGGGCCAGGGATTTAGCTCAGTGGTTCCGAAGCCTGCCTCGAAAGAGCAAGGAACCGAGTTCGATCCCCGGTATCAAAAAAAAAAAAAAAAAAAAAGACCCTAATTTAGGCACATCAAGGGGTTTGAGTCCTTTGCTCTGTGCTTTGACTGTAGTGCCCCCTGGTGGACATTAAATGCCAGGCTCGGTTCTCCTCATTGATCAATTTCCCCGGAAATGTTAAGAATGTATTTCAGCAGACTCATTGTTTTTCTACATTGGATTCCTGTTTTGTTTCTTGTTTTTTGTGAGGTTTTTTTTCCAGCTAAAGTTCACTTCAGTACATGACCAAACTGCATAACTGTATAATTCTCTAATTGTTCCCAGGATGCTTTCTACCGATTTCCTCTTCCTCAATTCAGGAGATGTACTAAAATGAGTGCCAGGGTCATCAACATGAGGGCTTCCGAACCGTGGCTGCTAACATGAGATAACTAAAATGCCGAAAAGACAACCAGAGTGTAGCTTGAAATGAAGATGATTATGACCAAAAAATGTTAAAAGCAAGAACAAGGAGGTAGACTTTGCGGAGATGGGAATGGGCTCTGGGGAAATGGGAAGGAGAGGGGGCGAAGAGGAAGTGAATAGG